CATACTATTTTCGTTGTAAATATACCCAAGTTATTATTATATCTCGCTCGAAAATCGAATTCTTATCTTTGAACAGGCGTCGAAGGCCTCTCAGCGAACTAAAAATATATGTATATTCTTTGTATTGAATAATAGATGTGTGTATTTTTTGTATGCATCACCTAAAGGGCACACTGGTAGCAAATGCTTAAAGCATTAAGTTCACCTTGTGTACTTTTTCTTATGCATGAAGCCACAAAATTATGTACACACATACATACAACTCATAGGACAACAATCGACTTTCAATGTTCTGCCCTTGTTATTCGACTTATTAATTGCCTTATAATTGTTATACAGCAGTATTAATTACGCAGGTACTTTTAGCGACAAAGTCGAGACATACGAGTAGATAAGTGGGATTGTGTTTTGATTTAAAACTCAATGCGCAGTATATGTAGTTCTATAGAATTCGTTGTATTAAATTATACTAAGAAGACTTTGGAGGCTTGTAACCTACCTTTACCTCCGACGATAATAAGAAATGTGAAAGTTAAAATTGTAGATTTTGGCCTCAGTTCCAGACTCCATGATACTCACTATCACACTTTAAAACGCAACCAAATGTAAAGTCATGGTACTAAACTAAGACCAAAGGTCTCTTTCTCTGACTATTAAATTCTTGAACAAAATAGTAATCCAAAACTTCTCTTCATTGCAGAGCATCCAGATTGACGCAATTGAGAAGACAACGACCAGAGAATACCACGTGAACACTCCAAGTCATACTGCACCAGCTGTTGTAGAATCCCCAGTTAAGACTAGACTGGGCACAGTAGATAGAGAAGATAGGTATCCTAAATCAATGTCGACCGATATCTCTACGTTTGACATACCTTTAGACAATGCAGTCAAAACTGTATCCAAGGAAATATCACCCGAAGAAGAGATTGATAACGCCTTTGAAATTTTAGACAAGTCATAGCAATCTGCGCCAGGTGTGATTTGTAGCTATAGAGAAAGGTTATTTTTTAAATAGTTGTAAGATTTTAGTTATAGTGTAAATGTCTTTTCACACAGGCTCAGGTTGTGCAGTGGTATTTGGAGTTGAGTTACGCTGAAATGTAAAGATTGATTCAGTAGCTACTGAGACAGTAAATACTGTTAGGCCTCTGACCGACTAATAGTTACTAAACATATTATGGCTCTTAATGCCTATGTACCAACTTGCATACCAAATAACTGTGCTGACAGTACATGGCTGTACACTTCGTGTTAAAAGACTTGGGGCTGAAATAACAGTTCGAAAGATCAGTACGTTCAAGAAGTTGCTCATATTGATGAAATGATGAAATGACTCTGACAATGTAGATAGTGTTTCTTGTATTTAATCACAATATTATGACTATACTATTGACGATTTTGAAAATATTGAAATAAGTATTTAGCAGTTTATGATTATCCTTAGTAGTATATATTGCGCTTTTAAATACTTTATAAATGAGATTATATTTAGTTATAAGTAGCGTAGGTAAGTAATGAATTGACCATCCAGAGCGTAGGAGAAACTATGTGGTACCTAAAACATAGTTTTGACGTTAAAATGTTGACTGTGATCTATTGAAATTGTATTTTAATACATGTAGGTATGTGCATTGCAAAATATAAAATGCTTTAAAGTAAGTTAAATTAGACTTTATGTGACGTTAAATCAGTAACAATGGCGTAGTTTTTTGCTTGAAAGAAACTGTGCCAGTTGATAAAGTGATTATTATTTTGAAAATAAAAATAATACTTAATCTTGATAATTATAATCGTGATATAAAATCTTTGATAGTCCTCCCGATACGGCGAACTGTTGGTGAATTTAAAATGTTTTTTTATGTAAGTACGTTTTGCTCAGTGAAGTATTATTTATCTAGTGTTTATCTGAAGTAGGGTTCAACTGATATCTAGCTTTCCCTACATGTATGATCAGGTATTAGACTCGTAAAATGTAGATAGTTTTCGTTGAAATAGATGTTTATAATCTAGCCAAGGCCCAACTCGTCAAAATCTACAATTATTTGAAGCTTTCCAATAATTTCGAATTTTTAACTGAGGTTTCGCCCGGTTGTGAAGCATGGCGTTTGAACACAATTAGGCTGACCGAGTGATACTGCTGCCTTACAGAATTAATGCTAGCGTTGCGTTACGCTGTAGTACAGGTAGAAGACTCCTCTGGTGTTTCCATGTACCTACATGGGCGGCGCTGATCGCTTATACTGAAGTGACCAACCTACGCGTTTGCCTTCATCTCATTTGATTTTGATTTTTTTACGAGTCTGTGTACTATTTATTTGTCGTTTCTTTTTTGTGTATATGTGTATTGTGTGAAGAACTAAGTACTTAAGTAACTTCTAATGATTGCGTTGTTTTTGTAACCGATATCTACTTACGTATTTGGATGAAATAAAAGACTGATTGTTGCAAGAATGACTCGCTTTCATTTTATTATTATTTACGATTAGCCCCGTATTACTTTTAGATTATAATTAGGTATTTGTTTTATCAGTTACAATTGGTGGTACCAATTGTAGGTGTGTTTGTGACCTTATTTTGCCCTTGGTTTGATGAAAAGCGGTCTGTCTTAATGTATAAAGCAGGTACTTACTCTGCATATGAATGATGATTGTTTTCGAAAGTACCACAAAGGTATATCTTCTTTGAGAAGTGGCAAAAGAGACGCCACGGCGTCCTGACCTTCGGCTTCGCAGGAGCTCACCGCACACCGAAGTTTCGGGAGGTAGGTACCTACCTACCTGTTTCGAAACCAGCGGGATGTAATGGACCACCCGGTATGCGGTGATGGTGTGACCTGCTTGGGTTGAACACTTCAATCTTTCCAAGGAAGCGATCGGCGGCGGTGATTGACTACATCACTGTAGTTAGGGCTATGATACAGAGTAACAACACGAGACCTAGGAGTGCCTCATAAATCAATTTTAATATAGGCCTCGTTTAGTCTAAATTCAAGATTATATTTAAACACAGGAGTCTATTTCATGAATTTCATAATTAGTAGGCCGGGGGTAGTTAATTACTTACAGATACCAAAGCGTCCCCAGTTCTCAGCAAAATTTCCAAAAACTTAGAGCACTTTTCTTTACCTATCATTCCTACCTACCTATAGTTATTGTTATCATAATTATCCAAAACTTGGAACATTTTTGTTTACCTATCATTCCTTACTAGCCATTGTTATAGTTATCCTATCCAAAACAAAAAACATTTTTGTTTACCTATCATTCCTTACTACCTATAGGTATAGTTATCCTATCCAAAACATAGAACATTTTTGTTAACCTATCATTCTTTACTACCTATAATTATAGTTATCCTATGCAAAACATAGAACATTTTTGTTTACCTATCATTCCTTTCTACCTATAGGTATAGTTATCCTATGCAAAACATAGAACATTTTTGTTAACCTATCATTCCTTACTACCTATAGTTATAGTTATCCTATCCAAAACATAGAACATTTTTGTTTACCTATCATTCCTTACTACCTATAGTTATAGTTATCCTATCCAAAACATAGAACATTTTTGTTAACCTATCATTCCTTACTACCTATAGGTATAGTTATCCTATCCAAAACATAGAACATTTTTGTTAACTTATCATTCCTTACTACCCATTGTTATAGTTATCCTATCCAAAACATAGAACATTTTTGTTAACCTATCATTCCTTACTACCCATTGTTATAGTTATCCTATCCAAAACATAGGACATTTTTGTTAACCTATCATTCCTTACTACCCATTGTTATAGTTATCCTATCCAAAACATAGAACATTTTTGTTAACCTATCATTCCTTACTACCTATAGGTATAGTTATCGTATGCAAAACTTAGAACATTTTTGTTTACCTATCATTGTTAACCTACCTACAGGTATACTTATATATCAAAATGTCCTTCGGAAAAACAGTAGTAACATAATAATTGAGTAAGCAACGGTAAGCACGCACGTAGAAGTTTATAGATATCGTCGTATTATCGCTAATTAGTTCTTATCACTGCTATATCCGACACTGATAAGAAAACACTGATGCGAACCATAATTTCTTTTTATTATTGCATCGTTTAAGTTAATTATTAGAATTGGAAGATAATCTGTTTTTATTTAAGTAGGTAGTATTGTGATGATGATTAATGGCTTCTTTAAATTTTGATGTTTTTTTTTTGAGGAGCGAACGTCATCTCGTGTGTTCTCTCGCCGAGGGCAAGGTGAGGGAGAGGGACTCTTATCTACTGACTAAAAACCCTGTCCCTTTTGCTTTGATTGGGCCGGACCCGCAACCCCTGCTACAAAATATCGGCCCTGTTAGGCACTATCTGTGGTGACCTATTGGGTAGTTTCCTAGGTCAAAAATAAATTAATTGGACGTTTCAATACAATAAAATATTGAAAAATAACTACACTTTTATTCATCGTGCGATCGATACACTGAATTTTAGATATTTTTTAGCAAATTTTAAGAAATAACTAAACTATTTGACGATAAAAACTGTGACGTCATGACTCAGTTTTTCTTACAAATGAATCGTTTGTGACATTTGGATAAAAGTATTGAATTTGACTAGTTAGAAACTACCGTATTGGTTATTGGCAGTTCGTCCTAGAGAAAAAAACATGTCTTAAAGTCAATATTGAAAATAATCAAAGGATGAAAGCTGTGTTTGCTGTGCGTTACACAATAAGGTTTTTGAAGTTGAGTACTATACCATCTCGATAGTACCTATTGAATGAGGTTTTTTAAGAGCGGAAATCATCAAATGACGTCTCCTGGCCTCTGTAGGGCCAACACTTGTATGCTTATCAGACGACATTTAAAAAAAGGATTACTTGCTGTCAAATATTGACAGCTACTGTGATTGGATGGATAGAAACTCATATTTTAATTAGCACTAGCGCCATCTATGACTTGATGGTGAAATTAAGATATAACTAAATTAATACAATTTTACAAAAGTCTTAAAATCTATATTTACAAAGCAATAATCAAAATACAAAACCAGATTCAAATATTTAAACTTTCATTTTCTTCTTCTTCGGTTTTATTGGCAGTGGGCCTCCAATCTTGAATACGGTACTGAAAAAGAAAAATATACATATTATTTAATTACTTGACTCCTAAAAATTGTTGATAATGGCCTCATGGAATGTTTTACTAACTACAACACGCCAAAATTTCAAGAATGGTAGATAAGGCTGAGCAGGATAGCCCATACAAAGTCTAGCGGTCACAATCGTAGAGTGGTGAGATTATAGATGGCTAATTTGGCAGTTATAACGGCTTTTTCGATTTGCCTGGAATTTAACTTGACTAGTAACATTCATTCCTCGTTATTATAGGGCTATAATGTCACTCTGAAGAACAAAGATTAGCAAGCGATGAAGTGGTGGCTGGGCAACTGGCTACCGTGCAACGTCTCCCGAGTTCGGTTCCCGCTAGGAACAACTCTTTGCATGGTCGACAAATTTTTGTTACGGGTTTGGGTGTAATGGCATGTGTAATTGTACGTTTGTGAAAGTACCCACAATACAGGAGGAGACACTTATTGGGGCAATGTTAAAAAAAAACAATAAAAAAGAAGAAATTTAAAATGAATACAATATGAACTGTATACTCACTGGCAAGTTGTGCATATTGGGCTGAATTTGCAGAACACTGAAAATAAAAGCAGTAAATACTTTTTACTCTTTTTTCTTATAGTGTTTATGTAGCTTTCGAGCTATGAGGTAATAGTAATCTGTATTCAGAATGAATTTTGCTCAAACATTTGTTAGGTCAAAGCAATCTTTACACGGACGGAATCGCGTGGGGTTTTTACCGCTTAATTTTTTTATACGCTATACAAGAATCAAAACAACATTAAGAGAACCGCACTAGAGGTTTTTCAATGGAGCTGCGCTCGTTATTCAATGCAATTACCTATCTAAATGTTATGTAAGTTCCGCTGTACAGCGGTTTGGGCCTTAGATGGCCAAAGATCTTGAGCTTTGACTTAACACTTTCGGCTTAACTTAGTTGGAAAGATTTTTTGACAGAAATTAGAAAGATTTTTCGACAGAAATTATTAAATGTTTTTGCCTGTCCTGGTTGGGGCGGTACATAATGTGAATTAACTGAATAATTATGAAATGAGAATAACAAAAAGCCTCCCTCAATTTCTAATCTATCCACAACAGTGGAATAAACTTATTATTTCATGATTTTAACTTAGGTTCTTAAGGTTCATATTCACAACAATTGACGCCCAATATCGAGCGATGTTGCCAGCTGCTAAAAGTCTTGAAGTTTTAATCTGAACAAATTGAATAAGCAACCTTGTGAAAAACACAACAATTTTATAAAGTGATCAAATCTATGATGTGTCCACGACATACCTACCTATACATTTTGTACACATACACAATTACAAAAAAACACTTATACATAAATCCAAATTACCTTACTCTTAACACTTAACAGTTATAACTCACCACTAAGACAGACAGAGCAGACATATCCGATAGTCAGCAGTTCCCTGTGACAGAAGCAGGCGGCGCGATAGTCCACGCGGCCTCGCCCCGGGAGCACCAACTTCGTACGTTCAGAAGTCTCGGGGAGGAACACCCACTGCAATATAGGACACCAAGAATAAGTATACTATTTTGAAAATATTTAAGTTTATTCGATTGCAAACACAGGTAGCAAGATACCTACTGAAATGTGTGTGTGGGTATTCTTATCAAATGACTTCTCCCGCCCAGGACCGGGCGGGAATGAGTGTCAGACTCTTACTGACTAAAAACCCCCCTGTTCCTTCTCCTGCTCTGGGCCGAGGTCGCGGTGCCTCATTGCTCGTACCCAGCAACCCCGACTAGCTACTTTATGTTGAGAGTCACGCGAGGCGAAGGAGGCGCGCGCGAAAGCGCACCCCGCCCAGCGATCCTCTGTCTAGATCCAAGTAGAGGGTGAAACCGAGCAAATTTCAACCTTAATTACTCACCAACAAGTACTGCAATAGTCCCTCTAGAGAGGGCACTTTGAGGTACAATCCTCCGGTGATGTCACATCCTTGTTGCAACAAGCTGAGGTGCTTATCCAATGAACATACATCTATTAGGACTTGTTGTTTCTGAAAACATCAATATATTACTTAGTATATAATATATATTTAGTTGTACTCCAGTATATAGTATATAAAAAGTAGATTTCGCTTTGGATGTTTTCCCTATATCCCACTACAAAGTAGAAAAACAAAGTCGCTTTATCTGTCCCTAAATACCTGTGTATGCTAAATAAAAATACGCAACAGATTTTGATGAGGTTTTTAATAGAATAAGATAGTGATTTATATTGTATAATAACATCCATTAAATGGTGGAGGAATTCAGTATCAGCATCGGCTAAGGCGGTGCAAGTTGCTGGTAATATTGTAAAAAATCTCTTATTTAGTGGATACCTATAGTCTTGAAGGACCCATGGGCTGTTTATGAACATGTAACTTTCACTACCTACTCTTTTTTCTACAACAAGTGTAAGTAGTAAAATCTTTTTGTTTGTAAAAAAAATGGTTATTTTTTTTCATTTCTGCTGAGCAATGAAACGTGGTTGGTCAACTTTTACTAAAAGGGCGGGATCACTTCTTACTCAGAAGAACGGACTTGCAAACGAAAATCGTCTCTAAAATGGTCAGCCGTAGTTTTTGGTGATAGTACCTATGGATTTGTCTACTATCTAAATTAAGTCGGGTTTCCCTTCCTGATGCTAAACTCCAGAACGCACGTACCGATTTCCACGGTTTTTCATTCGTTGGAAAGGTCTCGGTTCCGTGAGGTTTATAGCAAAAAAAAAAAATTCAGGGGAAAATTCAATAGAAAAGCCGGAACGGCGACCGCTAGTTATGTATATAAAATAGATTGTAATCTCTTTGAATAAATAAAAATAAATACCGATTCAAAAATACTTAGAATAAATGTTTATTGATAAAAATGTCGTATTGACCAAGCTCGCCTAGAATGGGAAAAAGGACTCGGAGGTTAAAGTCCTCGCTTGAAAGAAACAGTTTCGAAACCTCTCTAAAATAATCTAGACATTGAATAAATAAGTTTGAAACCGATAATCCGGTTTGAGCAAGCATGGTGATTAATGCACAAAACCTTCTCCGTGTGAGAAGAGGCCTTTCCTCAAGAGTGGGAAATTATAGGCTGATGATAAAGAGGTCAAACAAACCTGTGCAGTAAAGAACACGTTCATGTAGTTGATGTACTGTGCCGCAGTATCGCTGCTACCAGTCACTATTAAAATACGTGATGTCAACCGGAGACCAGGGGCTGCTTCACGACGAAACTGAAACATAATATTTGTTAAAGGATTAGGTATATAATTTTAGTTATAAGTATTATATATTTTTTTTAATGTGATACTACTAATGGGAAACACAACGCTGTGGTTGTTTCACTGCGGTTTTCTGTGAGGCCGTGGTATCACTCCGGTCGAGCCGACCCATTCGTGCCGAAGCTTGGCTCTCCCACACTTAGCTACACTAAATTTAACTTAGTATCTACCCCCTTACCTTAGCAATAAAACAGAGTGCCATAGCAACAGCCCCAGCCAGCAGGGACTCCCCAGGCTTCTCTTCTGGAGGCTGACTTTTTATTAAATTTACTAATCTGAAATTAAAAAATCAATCATTTATTTTAACATGTTTTTTTTAACTTTCCTTAAATAGCTTATCTACTTTCTCTTATCTCTTATTATATATTTCAAACTAGCTGACCCAGCAAACTTTGTACTGTCTCATTTTATTTCCTAAGATCTTTAATGTTCCTTGTATATCCAGGAATAATTTGAGACCACAATAAGTCATTTCGGTGCAGCCTTTCACGAGTATCAGCGAGACTAACGAACAGCAACTCATTTTTATATATTTAAAATTACCTAGAATAATATAAAGTCTCACCTCATTTTAATAGTTTTTTCAACTAATGTAAATAGTTCATATTGACCATCAATCTGTCTCACATCCAGGGGCTTGCCAGGGGTAGGGTACAAATATTCACTGAAACATAATAAATAATATAATCAAAACAACTACCTATGTAGGAGTAGGAAAATATTTGTTGATCCCTAACCCTAACCAATGATAACTACCAATCAGGACTTTGCAGTACCTATGCAAGTACCTCTGTTTCTGTATTTATTGTCCAATTTGATGTATGAGTTTTGTATATAAGTAATAAAGAATTAAGACTAATGAACAATTCACATACCTACACATAATTCTTAGGACAAAACTTGCACACCTATATAATTTTTTTTTTATAGGATAGTGCGGCGAATGAGGTGCCAAAACAGAGATATCAGGCTATTGGATTAGGCCTTCACTAACCTCACTCAAAAAAGCCTCAAATATTGTTACACATTAGAATTTAAACACACACATTAACACATTCAGTGACCCCGACGCGTATGTGCGTTTCCTCGCACGCACATACGCGTCGGGGGCACTGAATGTGTTAAATCTTGAGAAATGTATATTGAATACTAGCCAAATAATAATTAGTATACTTTTGTAACCTGCATAAGTACCTTTTGTGAAAATGACAGCCTATAACAGCCAGTTCATTTCTAGCCTTTTGCATCAAGTGTGAGTTGGCAAAGGCTATGACAGCATCCAGGCAGTTAGTTAAGACCTTCGGGTCCTCAGTTATGTATCTCTGGTTAGGATTTGTGTCCACTATTATTACAAGTAGACTGCTGTCCGATGGAGCTGCAATGTAAATGATAACAGAGTTTTTATTAATAAGTTACAACTTTGCATTTAAGACATATTGTTGACTTGTTTAAGGTTCAGTATTGTTTGTAGGACTATGTAGAAATTAACACACATCTTTGCAGTGTGATGGTTTATTCGGAACTACTCTAATGAACAAGACAGATGATCAATGATTTATCACAAACAAATATTATTATGGGCTACCCATAATCATGTCTTAAATGTAAAATATTTGTAGCTACATTAATAAAGAATTTGTGTATCTAAGCCAGTTGATAAGGGTTTATAACATTTAATTTATACATACTACTTTGAATGAAACCCATTATTTAAGACTGGAATATATATGAAAAATTCGGAAATGTTTAAATGAGATAGGTATTTAAGGTGCTGAAATCTATATTTATTTCTTAACTACCTCCTGCAACTCCTGCAAGCGGTTTCGCAGGCAGTAACAGACTACAAAGTTGCCAATGTATTATCTTAGACTACTATTCTACTGTTCTACTGAATTACAAATAAAAATACAAATTCGTTTTGTTCGGTAGTCTTTATGTAAAAGAGCAATAAACAATCGTACTTTCTTGTTTATAACAATATTAGTGAGATTAGGAGTTTTTGAATACCACATTTGAGGTTATGTTTTGCATACTTATAAACTTACCGTCGTCGTCTGCCATTTTATTACAATTAATTCTTTGAGATTATTGAAAAACAAGTGATATGAGTTTAACAACTATGTAACATTAATTATTTATTGTTATAAAACCAACTAAACAATCACATAAATATCTCACAAACAGTCAACAACCAACAACAGTCAAACACTAACTAAAGTGACACAGAGTGACACTAGTGACGTGATGTTAAAGTTGACAATGACATTGACATATAGCTTTACGTTTTTAATCGGTACCGAGTCTTTTTGCTATTATTATGACAATATATTGACTAGAACTGTGAATGAAATAGTGACACTGCCACTCTGGCGTGATTTTTTACGAAAAAATAACTGACGGTCTATTGTTATTAGAATTTTCAGTCAAAAACGTGAAAGTAACTAGGAATTTAATAAATATTTAAATAGCTAAATGAGCAGACGGATTAGATGACGGTAAGCAATCTGCGCCATGGACACTCCCAACATCAGAGGAGTTACGAGTGTCTTGCCGGCTTTTTGGGGATAAGGGTTTCGTAGAATTAGGGATTGGGGGGGGGGGGGAGAGGGGAAGAGGAAATGTTAAGCTTTCGGTAACCTCACTCACACAACGATTTGGTTGTTTCATGGTGTGGCACCACTCCGGCCTAGTCAGCCTATTTGTGCCCAAGCATGACTTTCTCACACTTAAAATAACATGATGAGGTCATTGGAATAAGAAGGTTAGGTGTCACATTAGTTATGGAGGTACTGTCTATGTTTCGCTTTCGCCGTAGCATCAGCATACAATCATAAATAGAAAAAGTATTTAAAAATACTTAGACTTAACCCTAGGTATACTTCTTTCATTATAATTAAATTAAAATGTTTTATAAACTAAGTCCCTCTTGTTTATTTACAATTAGGTACCCACCTAAAGAACGGTGTAACGTCAAACATGTAGGTACTATCTACATCATTACATAGTAAAATTTAGTCACTTTCTACGTCCCTTTATCCCTATGTAACGGTAAAACGGGGTGAATAGAATTTGAGGGGTGAATAGATACACGAAAGGGGTGAATAGGTAGATGTTGGCGAATTTTCCTAGTATCTATTCACCCCTCTTCCGTGTCTATTCACCCCTCGAATTCTATTCACCCCGTTTTACGGTATAGCAGATTTTGATGTACTTAGTTTTTTTATAGAGTGACTGAAGGGGAAGTTTTTTGTGTATAACAATTAATAACATTCATTAAATAGTGGAGAAATTTCGTTTGCTAGTAAATTTGTTACCGTTAAGTCCAGCGTGAAAAAAACATTTGTTCTTAATTGGTTAGCGATACAAATTCGAATAAAAGTGCTGTAGGCATTTGCTATAATAATAGAAAAAATAGTAACCTAATTAATATTAAACAACTATTAACCATATGTCCACAGCAAAGCGTTTATTAATTTAAATAATTGTTTAGAAAGCACCTGCGGACAGATGTCAGGGGCAGTAAGATACATATTTGTCAAAGGCACATTCCTTGCATAGTTTGGGTATGGTCATACATCATGGTACGAAGACCAATCAGTTTGACTCGTGCGCGCGATGATAATGATCGGACGACTAAAGAATTGGGTGGATATAACTTTGTTGTTATAACAGCTTCTTTTGTTTAACGAGATTTTCCTTTGGTTTCACTCGCTTCGATTTAAAATATGACTTGCCATTTCGCTGGAACCAATTTTAAAAATGTGCTAAATGTTTCGCCTATGATCGGAGTAACAAACAAAAGATAGCCACTTCTATATTTAAAAATAAGTAGTTGTGTAGGTATTTAAAACATATTAGTTAAAAGATCTCATTCCTCATGTATACAGCGGGGCCTTACAGGGCAGATGTTCAGCCGGGGTTGCGGAGGAAGCGCAATAAGCTACCGCGGCGTTGGCCTAAAGCAGGAGAAGGAACTGGGATGTTTTTATTCAGTACTAGCTATTCTCGCGCGGTTTCACCCGCTGCTCAGCTCCATTTAATCATAGCGTGATGTTTTATAGCCTATAGCACTCAGGAATATTGTAGCTATCTATCAGTGAAAGAATTTTGACAATCCGACCAGCGGTTCTAAAGATTACCCCCATACAAACATACAATTTTTACCTCTTTATAATATTAGTATAGAAGTATGGAAGAGTCTGACACTTCCTCAGCCTCACCCTGAGCGAAAGAAGTTATTTGATGATTTTCCCCTCACAAAAATTTAATGCCAAATATATCTGGTTGGCTCAACAAGTCTACAGGACACCAGTATCAGAAAAATGTGGCATTAGGTACATTATTTGCAATTCTATGCTCGTTAATAATGTGCTATTTTATAAATTCAGAGGTTTTGTGTTAATCAAATGGCTCCTCGCTCTCTAATTAAGCCATGAGGGAGTGTCAGACTCTTACGGATACTTACTAAAAACCACCGGGATTCAACTTTTCATTCGGTGATCCGAGATCGAGAGGCCACGGCGACTTTGCGCGATTTGCAAACTTGAGTAACAAACACATAACCTCACTTTTTTTTTAAGTAGTAGGTCGGCAAACGAGCAGACGGATTACCTGATGGGAAGTAATCAGCGCCGCCCATGGAACAATGAAACAATGACTCACACGGCGAAACACAACACTGTTGTTTCACGCCGGTTTTCTGTGAGGCCGTGGTATCACTCCGGTCGAGCCGACCCATTGGTGCCGAAGCATGGCTCTCCCACATCTAAAACTTTGTTTGGTATTAGTAGAGAGACATCTTATAATAATAAAAAAAAAATGGCTACCTACCTTCATGTCTGGTTTTCTAGCACAAGCTATTTAAATGTGTCTTTGGTAATTAACTAATAAAAAGCAACATGTGGCTTGTTGATGGCCAGTATTAGCATATCTTCCCTTAGTTGTTTACTCTCATGTATAGTTTTTTAACTAAAACAGGAGATGGATACGGAAACTTGCCCCAGAAAATTGCTTACAACATTTTTCGTTGAAATTGTTGTTAATTTGCATTCGTTGTTGTCGTTTTAATTGCTCCTATAGTTTTTGCCGTCTTAATTAAAGATGTAGGTAGATAAATTATTTAGTCTGTCAAGTTACAAAGGAGTGTTTCTTGTTGATAATGTTTTGTTTCAGGTACTTGGGCACGTACCTATCATGTTTTTTTGGACTAAGTACGTCGGCGGTACCAACTGCCAAAAAAGTATTTCGTCCTATAAAAAATATTTTCTTAGGTACCTACTTACGTTAAGTTATAGGGAAAGTTTTAAGACTTAAAAAGGTTGAACTGAGATTGTGTTGATTAATTATACAAAACATTTGTTTTGTATAAATAATAGCTAGCTTTACCAATTTTTTCTTTCATAACAAGCTCACAGTAACTATACAAAAGTGTATTACTCTATTACAAGATTTACAAGAACAAAACAAAACGTTACCAATGAATAACAACAAATTCTGACGTCACAACAGCACCATTACATTGATTTACACGACTCCGTTTATCAAGGAACGTAAGACGGGAGCTTATTATTACATCCGAATTGTATTTCATCGTAGCGAGATGACAAACCGGCGATACGGCGCCAAACTTATGTCATCTGTCAAAATACATGTTAACAGTACGAAGAACGGTAGATGAGTCGAGACGATAACACCACATGAATAATATAATACCAACGATGTGACAAGCTCTGCTACCTGTCATTTTACGACATTGTTTATACACGGCTAATGATATGCCTCATTTGAATGCCTTGGTGGTCTGGTCTGGATAGAAAAAACTACCCAGTTTTTGTTAACCCCGTCTTTACGCTACGTAATATATGTAAAAGCTCGACTTAAATGGAAATTGAGACGACATAACCAAGTATTTATTAATTTCCACGGCATTTTGCGTCCGTATATAATTAACAGTTTGAAAACTAATCAGTGTATTAAGAAGGCAGGCTGTAATTGAATAAGATTTTACGAGAACATTGTTTACAAGACTTCGTGCCAGAGGGCAGAGACGCTACATTAGCGCGGGCTTTCGAAAATCGAAATGAGAATAAGAAAAAAAGGCGGGAACGAAATAATTATGCACGTTCCGTTTCGTAATGGGCGTCGCGCTACCGTTTCGCTTTAATAGCTCGCTTGTTCTGAGAATTTAATTACGCTCAGAGCGCGCCCAGATTAGCCGGGCGCGCGTTCCGTTTTGTTAATAACTCTAATAATGGATGACGCCCGCGCTCTTTGCTGCATTAATGTTATTTATTCCGATTATAGCGCTCCCGCAATTTTATTAAACCGATACATCACTCACGCGTTTCTATGAAGTAAGTAAGTCAAACGTTGACATTAGATATATTTCAAATGGTAGAGGGGACAATTGATTTAATTGAGAATATTCAAAGTATCAATATTAATAATTCAATAACAAGCTCTCAAAAACAAATTGTCTAACCGATAAGACATTGGGTTTGACACAAACAAAATATAAAACGATTCAGCCTTAATAAGAACCGGAGTCCAGAGATGAACACAAAAGAAAAAGATAACCGCCTATTGTTTTTTATCATGTTGTCAATATCGCGCGGCCAAATTTTCAATATTGGAATGCCACGATTCGCCAATAAGAAGCGGGAAAGAATTGATTTATTGTCCAATTAGCGTCGGTCAGGTGTGCCAACTGCCAAGATAGCATCAGGCTGGCCAACCTAACTCGGTTGCAACTACTATTTCTTTTGGCGCGTTCCGTTTAAATGGCATATTGGAATCAAAAAAGAACCTTTACACCATGCAGGCCGCGTTTTCTGAAAGTCGAATTTGAAATTCTGATCGGTCGCGGCGAACGTTTGCTTAAGTGGAAATCGATTTGAATTAATTGCAGGCTTCGCTTTTTATCGACCAGGAACTTTAATTTGATAGATCACAATTATTAAGCAATGATAGATATAAGTAGTTTCGCATCATACAATATTAACGTAAATGCTAAAAGTTAAGGAACAGTCATTTCAATTATATATTATTTATCTTAATTGTCATCTAAATTGATATTGAACTGAGATTATTTTAATTCCGAAAAGTACACAGTTTGGCGACATTAACAAAATAGGTTTACTTAATAGAAATCAAACAAGGGGTGACGGGATTTCATTTATCGACCGAATACGACGTGTTAATAGCTCCTCGATAATTTGG